TATAATTAGTAATTAAAGCATATAAAACAATCGAAGAATCTGGTTTGCGTAGATCCTGACACTAGGATAGCTAGGTCTACTAATAGATTTTCTTTCTCTTCACATTTAATTACTTTCACTCTGCCCTGTATGTTTCATTACTTTGTACCTGCTTTGGCTGCAGAAAGTTCTCAGTCCAGTCCGCTAGGTAGAACTGGAAAAATGCTTTCTGAAACCCTGAAGTACTTCTACCAGGAAATACAATCTAATCAGATGACTTTGTAGCTGGATTCAGGAACAGGCAGCTTTCTGCCTTTTAAACAATAATCTATCCTTACGATTTCTCTTTCCTTGTACTCTTTAGTGCTTTAACTGCTTTGTACCTAACTTAAGGCAAATGTCAGTGCATCAAACTGTTTGTGAGCCAAGTTTAAGACATCTTGGTTTTCAACTAATCCTTAATGATAGTTTAAGTATTCAGATAATGGTTTAAACTTAGCAAAGAAAACAAACCATAGTTAAATAGTTTGTCTACTTATGAGGACTACATATGACTGCTGGCTGAATACATAATCCTAGAAAAATACCCTCCTCCTCCTAGAAAACAGACTTTGTATCAGCTGGTGTGTACCACAGAATTCAAGAGTATATTAGTGAAATGTACCTTGATGGACTATATGCTAAAGTTTTGGAAACTGCTGAATTAACGTTACTATTTGTTATTAAAAACAATGTCTAATTCTTAACAGGTTGCAAAAACCCGAAACCTTGCCAGTCAGAACTCACAGTCCTTGAACATGGGTTGTACAGTGGAGAGCCAGCCACAAAAGTGCTTTTGCAGCCTCTTACAGGTACAGACTTCTCTCCCCCAGAATTAGCACAAAATTCTTTTCCCGCCAGGCAGAAGAGATGTCACAGTTTCAACCCTTCCGTGCTGGATTGTTTGTTTATTGTTCTTCAGGCTTGGTTAGCACATGCACAAATGATGCTAAAGCCATTTAAAAAGTAAACCTCAAAATTACATGCATTGCTGATGTGATCTGTGATAGAAAAGCAGGAGGCTTTTTTTTAGTTTAAACTTTAATTGTTCCACCTGTAATTATTTCAAATGAATGAATGGGTGAAGAATTCTATTATATTATAAATATTGTTATCTTAAGTAATGAACAGTTTTAGAGTTACCTACATTCTTGCCAGTTTGGAAGGTGAGGAATATAAATATTGAATGCATTTTAAAAAGTCCTTCTTCCAGATGTGAAATGGTAAAATGGTTACACTTCATGAAATAAAACAAGATCCTTTAGTATATAATTGGCATAGGGCCTGGATATCTGAGAGACAGCTTGTCTTCAGTTGTTTCTGCCTGCCCAGTAAGTTTCAGCAGAGTGGGGATGCTCCAGGTCCCCTCCATTGTGGGACCTAGGAAGCGTGCCTTCTCTGTTGCAGCCCCAATTTTGGTTGTTATATTGGATCATTTTAATCTGGTTTTATGCTTTTAGCTGTTTTTTATGTTTTTTTTTCTAGTTTTGTACACTGCCAGAGTCCACTGGAGTTGGGTGGTTGATAAATTTAAATAAATAAATAAATAGTAGTAGTTCTGTGACATATACATATTAGTCAAGCCTCTGTTGGCAAGATGACAGTATGTACACACTGAACAAAAATAACTACTTGCTTTGTTCCAGGACATGGTAGTATAAAAGTTAGGGTTGAAGCCAGTTTTCTAGTCTTGATTGTATAGAACTATCTACTGCTGTGTATTTCAGGATAAAAAATTATGGAGGGCAACTTTTGTCTCAGACTGAGACTGGTGACTTCTTAGCCCAGTGTTATCCAAAAACTGGAGATGGGGTTGCAGAGAGTCTAAAGCTCAGAGGTAGAGCAATGGTTTTGCCTGCAGAAGGTCACAGGTTCAGTTCTTAGCATCTCCAGATTGTGCTGGGAAAGATTTCTGGCAGAAACTTTGGTGAGTCTGAATGCTGAACTCTAAGGTCTTAACATAAGACACCATTTTGCGTTGCTCAGTAGTACAGCATCAACCTTGAGCATAAGAGATCCAAGGCTCCATCCTGTGTCTGGGTAAACTGAAAAATATCTGGCCCTCTGTAGAGCTGGCACCTGAGCCAAGATGGACTCTGCTCTGTAGAAGGCAGAGAGGTCCAGCCTGAGACTCCAGAGGCACACCAGGGAACTCCAAAAGTTCTTACCCAGTTGCAGTGTTAATGTTCGGTTATTAAAGATAGTAATTAACTAAAGCATTCTCCATTATAAAATGGGGAGGGTCTACAGGGAGACCAAAAGTCAAGATGACAGCTTTGATTATGTGGTGGTGGCTGCCATAAAATATACTGGATTTTAATGAAACATTCAGTGTAAATAACATTAAATCAGATTTTTTTGTTGTGGAATTACTTTTGGGAACGTGGTGTTTGTCATACCACCCAACAGCCAAGGACTGCCCTATGCTCGGAAAAACCGTTTTAGGCTCTTTCTCCACAGGTGGCTTCTAGTGGCTTCTAGCATCGTACAGCCGTTATGTCAAAGTAACAGTAATGAGGACAGCTTTATATCACCTCAGCAGTGGCTGAATGACTCCAGAAGGCGATGTTAAGTCACAGATTGGTAAATGGCCATAGGCAACTTCCTGCACTCTTGATGAACGTGCATGTTGTTGCACAAGGTCATCACTGGAAAACTGGAAATAATCTTGCACAAACAGCCCAGGTTTCCTGCTTGGAAGCTTGATTTCCTTGTACATCCTCTTTCTTAGGAAGAACCCATCAGCTCCGAGTCCACTGCAGTGCCATCGGGCACCCGATTGTTGGGGACTTCACGTACAGCTTTAAGAAGGACAGCGCTCCCTATCGGATGATGCTCCATGCGTACTATTTGTGCATCCCAACCGGCAAGGAGCTAATCGAAGTGATCGCTCCAGACCCCTTCGTTCCCTCCTTCGACAGCAGTTGGGTCCCTCAGCACGTTACGCGCTGCTTGGATGAGCTGATCCAGGAACTGAAAGACAAGGGCATCTGGGCAGAGGAGGAAGAGAAGCAGGAAGATCTCCCTGCTGTCCCGAGTCCGGAGATTTTACATGAAACCAAGACCCTGGAGCTGGAGGAACAGCAAACTCGCTGCAAGCAGTGGTTGTCTGAATGGGTGTTGGAATGAGATGGCTCAGCCCTTTGCAATTGAAATTGAAGCCATCTCTGTTTACTTGTGGCTTGTGAACAACCTCGATCCCCTGACCAAATGAGGGCACCTTTCTGTTTTAGTTGCAAAATTCCCCAGGAGTGGGGAGCGCCGCAGTCCTAGATTGTAATTCTAAAAGTCGTGTGCCTGCACTGCCATATTTTAGTTGTTTGGGGTCAGCAGTCAGTACGGAGGGCAGCCAGGCAGGGTTGGTGATTTTATTGTAAGTACAAAGGGGCTGAATTGATGTAACTGGGTGCTCACCTCAAAAGAAGTGACAGAAAAATGGGGTCTGATGGTTTGCTCAGGCTAACCTTGGAGGATGCACGGCTACTAATTGCTGGACATTTTATTCTTGTTTGGGAGATACTGGGGTGTTGATGGGGGGCTGAACAAACTCAAGATGGTATCCATGACTTCATGGTTGAAGCCCTGCCCCTTTTTATCTGTGTCACATCTGCAGTGTATGTAAAAAACGGGTGAGGCTTTGATTGTATGGTTGTGGCTGCCATCTGCTACATACAAATGTCCTGCGGACGCCCAGAAGGATGTAAAGGCCTTTTGATAGCTGGATGTGTAAAGCTGGCTGGCTGGCTTCTGCTTTTTCATCATCAAAGCACTCACTTGGCTTTTAAACTATTTGTTTGCCAATTTAAATCAAATTCATGGTTTTAACTTGCAGGGATGTTTGAGAGAAAACCATCCCACCTTTTATCAATGATACAATAAGATCTGTTGCAGAACGTTGGAGTAAGTAATATATTTTTAGGATGTCTGAATTATTCCCACCACAATATTTTTATTTTAAAAATAATGTTCTTGGTGCATTTTCCAAATGTCTAGAATATTCAAATGGCCTTACGAAACAGAGGTGGCATGATATTCCCCCATCTTCCTTTCTGTTTAGGTATGGTTTATGATTTTTGGATTCTGATTGTTGCCTGAAATCTGATAGAGCATTGATATGGCATTTACTTTTACTTTTGATTCATAAACAACAGGGTTCCCTTCTACTTTCTCTTAAGTAAAGGAGAAGATACTTGACTTTTTGTGAGAGGTTTGAAAATGTGCCTTATGGTAGATTCTAGAGATTGTATGAAGGCTTCTACATAGAATGCAGATTTTACCTCCTTGCTTCTACACGTATCTTTCCTGCCCATGTCATGATCTTGTGAAACTGCTTAAATCTTTGCCAACATTTTAAAAATCTAGTAACCAAGTGTAATGTATGTTATTAATATTCACAATTTAAGTAGACTTTTGTGTAAATCACATGTATAGATTGTTCTGTGCGTAACTCCCCCCCCCCAGTTTTCCCATTGCTCTAAATTTCAGTCTTTGAAATTGGTGCATTAAACAGCTCTTATCTCTAGAGGATGCTCACATTACAGATGGTCCCATTTGTGACTGCAGTCCTTAAATGGACGTGGTTGGGAGTAAACCACGATTAAATAATTATTTTTTTAAAAAGTGGGTACAAGATTTTGAAGACATAACTTGCACAAAAGGGCAGGATATGTGAAATTCTAACCCTAACCCTCACTCTTGTGCCTGGCTGCCGTTGTGGCGTTTTCACAGCACACTGTAACATTGGGTTACCCTAACCCTCACTCTTGTGCCTGGCTGCCGTTGTGGCGTTTTCACAGCACACTGTAACATTGGGTTGTCAATATAGTATAATTAATATAATATAATATAATATAATATAATATAATATAATATAATATAATATAAATAAAAGGAAAGCAGAATGGAATCTGGACCAAAGAAGAGAAGAGTTTACAAGTTAACATAAAAAGATATGCTTCAGTCTTAAAGCTGTGAAATCACATTACATAAAATCTCACATTATTAACACAAATGAGGGTTAATAATCCAATTGAACGGCTGGAGTGTGTGTGCTTATATGTGTATTGTCCTAAAAGACTGCTTATAAATCTTTTTAAAAATCAAACAATTAAGCTCATTATATTGAATTGTTTAATTGATTTCTAAAAAGATTTATAAGCAATCTTTTAGGATATAGGCTGACAAGCCAACTCACATTACAATAAATGAAAACAGTTTCATTTTAAACTGTGGTTAAAAAAAATACAACAAAAAACACACTGAGCCAATTAAAAATATAAAAGTGATTATTAAGTTCATCAAGCAAATTAAATTAACTACTTTTATGCAAGCTTTGATGTTTTTACAGTAAGTGTGTTACATTTCTTTATTAACCTCTAGCCAAAGCTCTCTGAATGGCTTGTAAAATACAGCTTAATAAAATAAATGCATAAAAATGTAAAAATAGAATAAAAAGAAAGTAAAACTGACAGCAGTGCAAATTACTAAGATGCTCTATGAATTTATTATTTGCCTAATATTTTTAATTTACTGTCCATAATTGCATTTTTCTTCCTTTCCTAGAGGAAAGTTAGCATACATTAATTCAGCCTCTCTAGTTCTTATAATAAACCCCTTAGGGTAGGTTGTGTGGTGGCCCAAAGTTATCAAAATAATGTCATGCTTGTGTGGGAGTCGCACTTTTGCCTCTTACTTGTATTGCAACCTTAACCTTGAAATTATAGAGGTGTAGTTTTTAAAAATGACAAGGACTAAGAGACCAGGGGGATCTTACCACTGAAATGATTGTCTTAGGAGATTCCTGTCTCACTTTATTTGGTGAGGACACCTTCAAGAGTACCACTGACAATCATTTGAAAGATTAAGCTAGTCTTTAAATGCTTCTTCTAAAATGAAGTATTTGCATTTGCTTGGATCATCTACAAATGAAGGATTTTTTAAAAAAAATTACCAGATTTTGTTAGTCATGACAAAAATGTGCAGAATTAATTAATATACTGATTAATATAGTGCCTTTATCCTCGTTTCTTTAGTTTAACCATAGTCCTTTTCTGCTCTCTTAGAAGTTTCATTTTACTGGTTTGCTTTTTATTCAAAATTATGCAGAGCATGCCGTAATTAAAAATGATACTATACAAAACAGCATTGATGAGCAACAAGACAATAGAGATATGCAAGATGTTATGAACTGGATCTCTGCAAATGCAGAAGATTGTACATTGAACACAAAACAAGTTACTCTCCTGATTGTGCTCAGAGCATCTATTTGACATTCAAGGTGGGTCATCCACTATTGCACTCAAAACAAGATATTTAAATTTCAAAACATTTTGTGCATTATTAAGAAACATTTCCTGTCTTTTAGCTACAAGTTTGAATGATTATTCATATAAAGCAGAAGAAATAACCAATGACTATTTTCATATGATAAAGGTTTGGGATTCAAGGGGAAATAAAGTACTTTGGAGCATGGATGCTTATTCAGGAGCACCTGTTGGCAACTTTTAAAGCAGCTGCTTCTTAGGCAGCCACAGTATAATCCTGGGACAAGACACCCTTGGTTTAAAGAGCTGCTAAGAGGTGCTACACAGGCACCTAGAGGTGCTTCAAAATATCTTTTCCCATTGAATCCAAGCACTGGTCTAATAAATTCCGCTGTGTTCTTGTGACATTAGTTAAAATGCTTTACACCCCTAATCCATTGCATGAGGTTAATTGGTAGCTCTTCTTTTTTCAGTGCAGTCTCTCACTGCCAGAGTCTTGTACAGTACCTTTTACAAGACTGGCAAAAACTCCACAAGCATCTCTCCCCTCTTGAATGAGGCAGAGCCAGAGATGTCCATGGCATTTGACAGTTTCATCAGAATGATGAAATGAACATCACAACTTTGCAACACAGGCTCCACCCCTCACATGCATGCAGTGTCATGACACACATAAGGAAGGGGTGGAGCTCGTGTTGCAATGCTTGTTCCCTCATTTGTCCCACCTTGCCCTGCCTCTTGGACACTCGTGTCTCCAGAACTTGGGGACAGAGCTTGGGCTTCACATACAAAGGGTTGAGGTTAATTTCCCAGGACCTTCAGGTAGAGCTGGGAAGGGTTCTGCAAGAATCTAAGAAAGTTGCTTCTGGTCTATGCTGAGAATATGAGATATGAAAGACAAAGCTTCTTCCTTCCCCGTGAATGAATTCCCCTAGAAGGAAAAACTTTCTGCAGGGAGTTTCTGCAGCTGGCAAGGGTATAGGAGTGTTGCCAAGGAAAAAAAGGGACCTTTTATAAAGATTCAGCTTGATCTCCAAGACTTTCTCACTGCAAGAAAGCACTGGAATGATACAAGTTTAATGTCCAACTAGTCAGATTTCAGATTCCTATCTCACGAGGCCACAATAGGCACCATGACTGTCTTGGTGTAAATTTTGATTGTTACTGGATTATTTTGTTGTTACTGTTTTTTCTATTGTGGATTTGTAAGCTAATTAGAGACAATTAGACAGAAGCAACATAAAGATAGGAATAATAGATAGATACATAAATAACCTGTGCTTAATCCAAATAGCTGTAGAATTTGTGCAGGAACTAGTTTCTTGCTTTATTTAGCAATCTGTTTTTTATTTATTTTATTTGGAGCGTGGATTAGCATTTTGTAATTCTTGCAGGATGATTCTGAGTTAGATGGTTTTGAGAAAGAATGGAAAAATCAATGGAGGAAAACTCTCTCTGAGGTTTCTGCTGGTTTTGTTATAAATACCTTCATTATTAAACTGAATAATTTGGATTTATTTTTCTTGGCTAGCAACGTGCACTTTAGAAAATAATAGGATAGGTGAAATCTTAAAACTGCTGAGATGCACAGTCCTGAATAGGTTGGAGTAATTTTTTATATGACAGTTGTAAATATGTTTTTTGAGATGTGCAGAAATGTCTTTTAAGAGCAGCTTGCACCAAGTATTTATATTGTACATATTTATTTGTATGCATTCTCAGGTGTTCCAGTACTTCATAAACCAAAGCTTATAATATTTCTTATGCAACATTAACTGGTCAGAACATGGATGCATTGTTATTCTCAGAACACTGAAACCAAGGCACACTTGTTTGCCCACTTGCCACTGCTTTATCAATTCTTCTCTTTTCCCGTGCCATCCCAGAAAATGCCCCGTTAAATATTTAAATTATTTCAATACTGAAAGGTAACACAGTGACTGTTCATGAATCTATGTTGTAAGACGAGTTGAGCAGATGGAGTCAGAGATTAGCAGTTTCTTGATCCCAGATGAAAAAAAATTTTTTTTACTGGAGGGTGGGGAAACCTGGATAAATTTACTGTACCTTTTGCCACCTCCCAAAGAAGTTGTGTCCTTTTCTGAATGCCTTTGAGTTCAGCAAATGCCTACAGGGTGTGACAGAATCATCACAATTTGTTGTTCCTTCCTTAACAGCTCTTGAATTCAAATATGTATTTTCCTTTGTGCAGGAAATTTCCCATAAGAATTAAGTATGATCCTTGGAAAAAGAGGGGCTAACTGTTCTATCTTTGGGGAGAAGAGACATCCTGCCTTATATTTCCTGGTGTACTTTGCAATATTCATACATTGTTCCTCAACGTATGAATAACTGTCTGCCTTCTAATTGTCCCCAACGGCAGGACCTTTTGATGTTTTCTCAGGGTCCCAGAGAAGCAGGATTTTGATTGTGGTTCATGATGAAACTCCTTCATTTGCAGAAGATAGACCTGAAAACGGGTTTTCTTTGGTTATATAGAACTTGAAATGATTAAATGTTGGCCCAGGCAGATGGAGCTGTTTTACTGGTCATCAGGCCAGAAATTCCTCAAGGTGACTTCTAAAATCTGGTGTGTTTCTGTTAGAAAAGTCCATCTGTGAATGGATCCAAGCTATAAGTTTGGATTTCTTGAAAACTAATATGATTGATTATCTTTCCCCCCCATCTTTTTGGACTGAAATGTTTATTAAAATAGGACAAATCACAACTCAGGCCATTATATTAGATCCTTGCTATGTTTTTTTCTTTAATTATCCAAACACGTTGAAACATGAAGAGTTGATAGTTTTCTTGCAGCCTGACAAGATCAGAGCAACTTTATTAGGGTCTTAGACCAGCATATAGTCTGACAGGTAGTAGCAAGATTCTGTAAAACAAGAAAGGATTTGAATATTTCCATATAGTGGCAAGTATGCTGGAAAATTACTCTAATAGAAAAATTGAACCGCTCCCCACCAAAAGATGATTTTTTTCTTCACTTGGTTTAAAGTAACTACTTTGTAAAACAAAGGGAATAATGATTGTCTGCTACCCAGTTCCAGATTCATAGATAAGTTATAGATTATTATAAATTATTTATTGTGTGTGTGTGTGTGTGTGTGTAAAAAAATTCCCCTCTCACCCCAATGGGTGGTATGTGTCTTCCTCAATCTTGGGTCCTCTACCAGAGGCCTGGAGTCTGAGGGTTCTGTGCAGGATCTTAGCTGTTGCTAGCACTGCATTCTTCTGGACAGAGAGCTTTGATGTTGTTCCTGG